GACGGGGGTACCCTGCGCGTCAAAATCGGACGTAGAGGGAACCTTGCCAAAGCATCACTATGTGACGACTTGGGAGTGAGAATGGGTTGGAAAGTCACAGGTTTGACTCCCCGCCATGCCGAAATGTTGTGGTGTCCTTGAGCCAGACACCCAACCCCCAGCTGCTCCCCGGCGCTTACACAGCTGCCCGCTGCTCCACTTGGGTGTTTCTCATGTGTGATGGGTCAAATGCAGAGCACAAATTTCATCATTGTATGGGAACATGCATCGATGACCAGTAAAATAAAAAGAAAGAAAAGACTGTGTTCTTGTTAGCTTCTTCTGTACGTCTTTTAAAATCAAACTATTCCAGCACTTTGTGCTTTTTGAACCTTTGTTTGGCCCAATGTGATTTCACTTTTGATTTTTATAAAGTTGATACGTTTGGAAATGTTTGTTTGCAAAAGGTTTAGAAATACTTGAGAGCTCTTCACTTCCTTTAAAAACATTTTTCTCTAAAATCTACATCAATATATTTTGTCTATTTTTGTCTTCTTGTGTTCTCTATAGATTTTAGCTTCTGTCTTGCCAGTTTTAGTATTCAGATGGAAATGTGCTCATTTTTGATCCTCTATAGTTATGCTGATTCTTGTCATCTATGGTTTTTGCAAGTTTTTGCCTTGAGTGACAATTTAGCTAAGTTTTGTTTTAAACACCAGTTTTAGTAATTTGGGCTTTTAGCCAATGTTTTATTAATTTAAACATTTGGCGTCTGGTTTGCAAATTCTAACTTTTATGTCCTGTCCTGCAACGTCCTGTCAATCTGTATTCTGGAAATTTTATCTGTATTAAAAAAAGAAATAAAAGAGTCTGGCAATGGAACTTTAATTTATGAACAATTTAAAGTTACCAAAAGGTAAATGGTAACCATTTTCCCAAATCATCTTTATAGCATTTCCTTCACAGGAAGCTGTAGGAAAATATTTATTTTGCTCTTGCAGAAAATGGCTTCAGGCTCTCTGGTTTTTTAAAAATAATAAATAAGTGGTTTTTGATAATATAAATATGCTTATGAATGACCATTTCTCAATCCGCAGGGGTAAGTGCAGCCTTCATGGAGATTAGAAAGCAAGCTTATTTCATTCTCATATGTWTCTTTCCTGGCCCCCTGCATGAACCTATCAAATCTTATGAAATCTGYTTGTTAAAAACTGATGTAAACCCCGCAGAGATCAACTGCAAATACAATTAACWGTTTTTTTCATAGCCAGTTGTGTTTACATTGTTTTATTTAAACGCACCCATA